CACACGGAGTCATCACTGTGCATTTGGGAAACGTGGGGAAGGGTGGTGGGAAAGGGTAGTGGGAAACGGTGGAGGGGAGGGAGCCTGCATGGGATAGCACCTGGTTGTTTTATTCATGATTCTAGGAAGTTTGTTGGTTTCTTTTGAGAGGTCCCAAGGAGATGCTTTAGAGGTCATGTTCTCTGCCATTTCTTTGAAATTGAAATAATTCAATTCTTGTCTACATCTTTACACATGAGGGTTATAGCTGTGTGAACAGGATGAAATTGATCGTAGATGAGATGAGCAGAGAAAGCCACCATAAATGAGAGGCTCATTTCTAGAGGTGGCTTACAGAAATTTGCCCTCCTACTTGGTAATCACACCACAGAGAAATTGCGTGCCCGTTGGTACAGAGTTAATTATCAATAAAAGATATCTTATATCCTGTTATTCAGGTTGGTTCTGGTGGCACAGTGGCTTCAGGGCACTCATTTAGATTCATGGGTTTTCCCATGAATACCTTACATAATGAAACTCGTTATCCTTCCATCTTTTTATCTGCCCATTATTCTTTCTGTCCCCCTACAGCCTCTTTCTGTTGCCCTGTGACATCTGAGCTGCTATCATCTGCTTGGGGTTAGCAGCGTTGTGGATTGTCCCACAGAGGCACTGGGGGGCCTGGACAAAGCCTGCTGAAATGAGCAGTGTCCCGGAGCTGTGTCTGACCCCAGCCCCTGGGTCTATCTCTCAGCTCCCTTTATCTAGATGATCAGGGCAAGCCTCAAGAGCTGATGTGGTGAGTAGCACAGCACCAGGGAAGAGGCAGCCTGCAGCCTGCAGTCTGCTCCTCCAGGCCCCTTCCCAGCCTTCCTCCCAGAGTGCAGCTCTGCCCATCGGCCCTGGTGAGGTCAACCTGACCAGGCCTTACAAGACCCAAGACGTATCCTGGGCCAGCTTGCTGACTCTCATCTGCAGTGTTTGGCTGTGCTTCACAGGTTCCCCTCTGCTCTTCTCCTCTCCCCTCCATACAGCCAGCTTCGTCAGCCTTTCGGACCCAGCTGGGTGTGTCCTTTGGGAGGCCTGTCTTGGATACCTCTCACCCCAGACTGGTTTGGTAACCCTCAGTGCTCCACATGAGGAGTCAATGATATATTTCATCAAAAGCATGAAGCGCGGTGTCTGGCTCAGTTCAGCAGGTATTTTTGGATGACCTGTTGTCTGTCAGTCGGCAGGGAATATAAATGTGAAAGAGGCACAGTCCCAGCCCTTGGGATGGCAGGGTGACAAACTGGGATCCTGCTTTGCATGTACTGTGATGTGATGATGGCATCAGGAACTGAGTAGGCTCATAGAAGGGGGATATGGGAACTGTCTGGGGATTCAGGGTGGGCTTCCTGGAGGAGGTGACCCCTAGGATCAGTTACAGTGTTGGCCGAATTTGGGGAGCAGAGGGTGAGGGTAGAGTTGCAAGCAAACAGAGGAGCAGGGGTGAGAAACATCCTGTGGGGCGGGGCGGCTCAGAGCAGCTCAGAACAGTGAGAATCAAGTTGGGGTTGGGGGTCAAGATGGAGCTGGGGAGACTTCTCCTCACAGCTTCTATGCATCAGGACCTGTTTGAATGCCTAGTACTGGGAGGGTACCCTGTGGATCGATGCTGTGTGCTAGAGACTCAGGGAGGCACAAATAGTACAGGGCGATCTCACACTCTGAACTAGTGGACAAGGTTGACAGGCCCAGATACCAGAGGAAACAGCAGACAAAATCTTTCTAGATGAAAAGTCTTATTCTGATCTTTTTCTGTGGTTTTGAAACCACTGCTTCCTTGGGTCATGGGTGAATCATTTGCACCCAGCCACCATGGTTCTCAAGTAGCAGCCACAGCAAGCCTCACCCTGGGTGCTTACAGAGGAACTAGCAAACTCTAGGTACTCTAGGACACCCACGGTCCTCACCTGTGCCCCTCCATTTCTGTGTCACTCATACTACCCTGTCTCCTTAACTGCTTCTCTCCCTGGCCCAGACTCCAAGGGAGTGTGCCCACAGGCATGGCCAAGGGGCCAGGACTTGGGAGATTTCATAAAAGAACAGAGTCAAGGACTGAGGGGTGCCACCAGCCAGAAGGGCCAGGTCACTAGGAGACTGCCTTAGCACTTTTCTATATTTCCTTGCTCTCATGCTAATACCCCTGTAGTGAGTTCCCTCTGAACACCTGTTCTGTGTGTTAGCCATCCTAGCATCTTTCTTTCCACTGGAAAGAAAAGAAAGAAAGAAAGAAAGTTGCCCTAGGAGCAGCCAAGGACTGATGCTGGGTGGGAGAATCACCAGTTCTGTATCTCTGTGATTGTTGTTTTGGTAACACAAGTGACGAAGGAAAATATGCTCATTGTGAAAAAGTAAAACACACCTGGACAAGATAAAAATATAGAAATATATATTTCTATACATATAGAATACATTAATATGTGCTTACTATAAATATATACACAGTCATGCACCACATGACTTCCATCAACAACAGAACACACATATGATGATGGTGCCCTATTATAATACCGTATTTTTACTGGACTCTATGTTGAGATAGGTTTAGATACACAAGTACTTACCATTGTGTTACAACTGCCTACAATATTCAGTGCGGTAACACGCTGTTCAGGTTTGTAGCCTAGGAGCAGCAGGCTGTACCATGTAGCCTGGGCGTGTCATAAGCTCTACCATCCAGGTTTGTAGCCTAGGAGCAGCAGGCTGTACCATGTAGCCTGGGCGTCTTGTAGGCTCTACCATCTAGGTTTGTAGCCTAGGAGCAGCAGACTGTACCATGTAGCCTGGGCGTGTCGTAAGCTCTACCAACCAGGTTTGTGTAAGTGCGCTCTGTGATCTTTACACTATGACAGAATTGCCTAAGGACCATTTATCAGTGCATCCCCATTGTTAAGCAACTCGTGACTGTCCATATATGCGTGTGCGAATATATCAAACAAGTGAAAATGCTTCTTGACACCCCATTCCATCCTTCCCCAGGGGAAACCAGTGCTGTGTTAGGATGGGTAACCTTAGAGATGTTTTTTTCTATGCATTTACATAATAAGCAAATGCCTGTATAGTTACACGTTTATAGGTGTTTTTTCTTTACACAAAAAGGATTGTATCAGTATTGAGTGGCTTGGTTTATTCACTTCACTTCATTTATCTTGGATTCTTTTCCCTTCTTTTTAACTGGGGTAGAACAATCTGCAGTACGGATATAACATTCTGTTCTGCTAGAGATGGATATTTAGGTTATTTCCCTGTTTTGTTATTACAAACAGCACTGCAGGGAATCTCTTTGGCCAGACATTTTTGTGTGTGGGCATTGCTATCTTTATAGATATAGAATGGATTCCAAGGCATAGAATAATGAGATTGGTGTAGTGCACATGCACCATTTTGATGGCTCCTGCCAAACACTCCTGAAAGGTGCCAATTTCCACCCTAACCTGCAATGCTTGGAAGCGTCAGGTTTCTCACACCCTTGCCAACAGTGAGTGTTATCATTAAAACATGATTTTCCAGTTTAATGTGGAAAAATTATTAATATATCCCACTGTTTGATTCATATTTCCTTATGAAAAATATCACATGGTTGTTTTAGATTTAATTATAAATAAACTTAAGCATCTCTTCATGTGTTTATTGGCCATTGATATTTATTTTTCTGTGATTAGTCTGTTCATATCCTACAATGATTTTTCAGGTGTAGGGGCTCTTATGTGCTTTGAATATTAATCATTTGTCTGTTAGGTTAGTTGCAAATATTTTTCTCTCAGTGTGTTGCTTATCTTTTATCTTTGCTTATGGCATCTGTTTGCCAAAGGGAAGTTTTAAATATTTATGTAGAAGAATTTGTAGAAGTAATTAGGGAATTTACATTGATTTACACTGGCGGTCGGTCCCTGTTTTCACTATTGTTCGTGTGTATGTATAGATATTATGGTGATTAATAAACCTTTTAGAAGTTAAATAGATCTACCAGTACACTTATTTTCATGTATTTTCCTCAATGTCTGGATGCTAAAAGTAGGACAATTACTGTGTAGGGAATTCTAGAGAATCTGTGATGCTACAAAGACATTCCCTAGGCATGGAGAGATTAGGGACCACTGAGACAGAAGCTGTCCATGGGGGATAGACATTTGGGCAGCCCCACATTTCTATTCTTACAGGTCAGCATCCAAAAGAAAAAGAGCACCTCTTTTAGTGTCTATACATCACCTCTCTCAAAGAAAGGGAGTCTTCTTGCCCCATTACTATCCTTACTGACTCTAGTCATGTGTCCACCCCTGCCAGGGGGCGAGGATACTGTGATTGACAGTCCATCCCGACCACACGTGGTGGGGAAGGATCAGCTCATTAATGGAATGAGGGTGCTAGATGGACAAGCACACCAATTACAGGACCCACACATGACACCCCGAAGATGGTGGGGAAGCTGAAGTCAAGGAGTGAGCATGAGACAGGCTTTCAACCAGCACACATGCCTTGGTCCTTGGCTGTCTTCTGTAAAGTGCTCTCATGGATTAAATGAGCAACTCTGAAGGTCCACAAAGCATAAAGCAGATGATGATAGATGGAGTATGTCAGACACCCACATCTGGCATCTAGCAGGTCCTCCAAGAGGAATGATGGTTTTCCTCCTGTTGCTGTCCCTGGAATTAAAGGGCATTAGGAAGAGGTAATCAGGTCCTAAGAAGTTAGTGTGTGAGTTCTTCCTTGAACTGCCCTGAGTGAGGCCCCTTTGTCTGGGAGGCCCCCCTGGTGTTGAGTACATGGTGAGGAGAGGGTAGTGGCAGCGAGGAAGAAGCAGGACACAGTGGGGCTCAGGAAGCACTTCTCAAATGGGAAGCTGCCCCACTGAAGCACACCCTGATTCTCAGTGCAAGAGCAGCTCCTCAAAGTGAAATCCAGCCCCACGCTGGGCCGTGCAGCTGGCCTGGCACCCCCAGCAACTGTGCGTCATGACCTGCCTTGCTTCCTTTCAGTCCACCTGATCCCGGTGTCGGCAGCTAAGAATGGAGTGAGTAGCAAGAGTCGAAAGAGAATCCTGCCTGACCCTGCGACAGAGCCCCCTGTGACAGACCCCGTTTACGAAGCCCTTCTGTACTGCAACATCCCCAGCGTGGCCGAACGCAGCATGGAAGGTAGGCCTGGCTGTGCTGCCAGGACAGACACCCCTTTGGGGACTAGTTCTTCCAGCAGCATTGCAGAGATGGCCAGGACCCAAGGCCTACAGTTGCCACCAGGCTGTGCCCTTGAATGAGTTCCTGGGTCCCTGCATTCTCATCTAAAAAAATGGGAGTAACTAGCAGGACTTATGCCTGGGACTGGGGAGGATTCAGTAACCGCTCTGAACACACCACGTGGCTCACGATCAGCCCACCACAAATGTTTGCTGTGATCATGATCTCTAGTGAGACGGCAGCAAAGTAGAAAGGTGGCCTTGGCAGGCCTAGCACAGCACATTGAGACACTCTGCTTTTCAGGGAAGCCTCTTGGGACTTAGGATGTCCACAGGATGTCCTGCTGGCATCATACCACAGAAGTGAGGCAATTTCTACAAGTTTTGCTTTTCTAAAAGTGTATCCAAGCATAGTGTTGAAACCTTATTGATCTCTTTATGCCCTCTCTTGTCTCATGAAAGATTTAAAGGCGAAGTCATTGTTTCTAGTGTTTCTGTGGATCTCTCCCTGGTCTGTGCATGTAAGTGAGGCCACATTAGTAGTCATGCCTGCATTTCCCTGGCCTCCCATTGTTTCCGGGAGGCCTGGGACATAGCCAGCCTTATAAGACTATTCAGTGGCCCCTGCCTGGCATGGCAGCCAGGCCCCCTTCACTGCTCTGCCACCTCTCAGTGGCCCCTGCTGCCTCCTGCTCAGATTCCCAGCACAAGAATGGCCAGGTTATCCCCTTGGCCCCCTTCTAAACAGATAGACACCTATTGGCTGATAACTAGACAACATGCTTCTCTCTGTCTCACAGGTCATGCTCCGCATCATTTTAAGCTGGTCTCAGTGCATGTGTTCATTCGCCATGGAGACAGGTACCCACTGTATGTCATTCCCAAAACAAAGCGACCAGAAATTGACTGCACTCTGGTGGCTAACAGGTAAATTGCACTTTTTCTAAAAGTGAGTTCCAAGTATCTGTTAGATCCTGTAGGATGGAGAATGACCGGACAGGGGAGTGACCTACACTTGGTGAAGCATACTGTTGGCAGAGGCCTGAGCTCAGAGCAGTCTTGCACATGAGTGCCATTGTACAGTTGAAAAGAAAGAGGCCCACAGAGGTGGGGACACCTGTTTCCAGCAACACAGCAGATATACTGAGCCCAGGTCAATCTGAGGCTTACCCTCCCACCCTGATGCTTTTCACTTGGAGAAACAGTTGGGACACAGTACAGGGAGCACTGAGTCAAGAGTCCTCCGCCCCAGCTCACCAGAGCAGCAGACAAGTCCCTCAGTGTTCTCTGAGCCTCAGCCTCCTACCTCTACAACGGAGATCATGAGGCTCCCCATGAAGGCTTGGGGCAAGGGGTAAGTGAGATGACACAGGCAATGCACGTTAGCGATTGCAGAGGCATATATGTGTAAGAATTATTTCACCCTTTTAATTCTTCACAGGAGTAGAGACAGCCTGTTCTGCGTTGAAAGCCCTTAGGATGAAAAATAATTGAACAGAGAGTGGAAATAGTATGGAAATGTCATGGCCCTACAATTAGAGGCATAGTTAGCAATAAAATGTTGGGCTAGACCTCAGCAAATGTGTCTGGAGGCACATAACATTCTAGCAGCATTGACCGAAGGAGGTCAGGAGACGAAAGAAGTGCTCAGTGGGGAAGATGTTCTTTTGATGGAATGCTTCTGGGGTGCCAGCCTGCCCAAGGGAGGGCCAGCCTGGTGGAGCCGTGGATTGCCTCACTGCAGCCAGGGCTATTCTTTAAAAGAGGCACTTTGCAGCTCGTCTTGCAGGGCCCCGCCCTCATTCTGTCACGTGATGGCAGGATGGGGCCATTTTTGGCACTCCCGTTTGAGAGGCTCAGTTCCTAGGGACCAGTTGGCCTGGCTGCCTCTGCCCTCATTTTCCTTTGCCTAGTTCTCTTTCATTGAACATTCTGTATTTTTAGAAGTGACCTTAAATCCTTTGTGAAAAGAGGGTGGAGTATGCATATTTTGTTACTTAATATCATATAATTAATGTAATATTTACAAACAGTAGTAGTTAACTTGTCATTACACACAGGCACTTAGAGTAAGATTGAGCAGGAATGCCAATGAAGTGGACCCTCTCTGGGCTGCTGATTCCCCCAGGACTGTAGGATCTGGGTCACCAGCAATGCCTGCTGTCTTCCCAGGTGCTATTTCAGCTTTAAAAATTAGTAATGTTGTGACCTCTTAAAAGGTAGTGTGTCCTGGAGTGTGCCCATTTTTCTAGTCTAGTGAAACAGAGTGCTGGGGCCAGCAGGCAAGTACAGTGAGCTGAACTAAGCAGGAGCTGTTTGTCTACAGGTTCGTTGCCCAGGTTTCCCATCCACGATGACACACCCTGTGACCCTCAAAGCCTTTGTAGTAGAAGCTGCCTCTTTCTGAATGCCATGTGCTTTATGAGAAAGGTGTTATTTTAACCCTCATAGTATTACGTTTAGCCAGTATTAAGGTTATTAGCTATTTATATGCTGTATTTAGTAAATGCTTTTTTTAAATTCATAAATATGAATTAAATATGCTTTTCTACATCCAAGGAAGAGAAAACGTTCACTCTGATCAGCACTTATTGCACAGATTTTAGTTTTATGCTTCTATCATGTGCCAGGTACCAGACGGTACCACACGAGCAGACACCTACATGAAGTGAAGGGGCCAGCTCTGTGATGATCTGGGGGCAGAGCGTTCCCGGTGGAGTAAACACAAGTGCAGGGAGCCTGAGGCTGGAAGAGCTGGGCGGGCGTGAGCCACAATAAGACCACGGTATGGCTGGGCTGGAGCAGTGAGGGAGGGAATGCCCAGGACATAGCAGCCCTCAAAGAATGGTAGCTGGCACAGGTGGCAGCACTAGAGAAAGAAGAGGAAGAAATGGAAGAATGGCAAGAAGTAGAAATGCAAGTAGTTTGGGTGCCATATTTGGGGGCATAAGCCAGAAGAGGGGCAGCCTGACCCAGCCTGGGGCAGGGAGGGGACACAGGGTGGCAGATCAGGGAAGGCCATGCAGAGAAAGGGACCCGAAGGGTGTGCAGGAGCAAGTCAGGCAGCGGCTGGCGCCAAACGGCCCCTCGGGCGGTGAAACCAGCCCACGCAGTGTGAGGTGGCGGACAGCTTGGCACATTGGAGCCCTCAAAGTTAGTTCACAGGCTGGAGCACAGAGTGGAAAACTGGATGGGAACTAGGTGATCTGAGGCATTGAATACCCAGCCAAGGAGTGTGGGCTCCAGGCATGAAGGCAGCAAGAGAGCCAGGGAGTGAAAGGGATGTAAAGATGAATGTCTCTGACAGCTGTAGTATGGACGATGGATTGGAAGCTGGTGGCAGCTAGTGGTGGTATTACTAAGATAGTGATCCAGAGGAGGGACTTCACTTGGAATCAGAATCCACGTTCTTAAAATGCCCCACAAGGCCTGAATGCCCTTCCTCCAACCCTTACCTGCCTGACCTCACCTTCTGCCTCCTCGTGCTCACTTACTCTGCTTCAGCCACGATGCTCCTAGCTCTTCCTTCCACACTCAGGCACTGTGCTGCCTTAGGGCCTTTGCACGACTGGTTTGTCTCTGGAAGCTTATTCCCACAGATAGCTTTATGGCCAGTCCTCTTACCTCCTTTAAATCTTTGCTCAAATGTCACCTTCTCAATAAGACCTACTCAGAACGTTCCAGTTAAAATGACCAGGTGTTCCTCCTTCCACCCTGGTCTTCCACAACCCCCTTAGCCTGCTCTTCTCTTTGCCACAGCATCTGTTACTTTCTAACCCAGACACACATACACACACACACAAACACACACACACACATATTTATAGTGTTCATTGTGTACTGTCTGCTTCCCCAGGATAGAATATAACCTCCCTGAGGGCAGAGACACTTATTTGTTTTTATTCACTGCTGCTTCATCCCAAGTACCTAGGACAGTGACTGGCATATGAGTGGTGGGGTATGATTAAATGTTTGTTGACTGAATAAATGAGAGCAGCTGGAACTTGGAAAGTGGCAGCAGAGATGGAGAGAGTGGGTGGGTCTTGGAGACTGTTACAAGGTGGGATCAACAGGACTTGGTGGTCGGTTGATCAGGGGTATAAAAGACAGGCAGGATGGGGCCCAGGTTTCTCACTCGTGTCTGGCTAGTGGTGGTGCCCCTGCCTGGAATAGAAAAACAGAAGAAAGGAGGTGTGGGGGAAAGTTAGTACAGGCATTGGTGCTACATTTGAGCCATCATGAAACATTCAAGAGACAGTTTCTAGTCAGTAGTAGGCTATATAATTTTTTTTTTTTTTTTTTTTTGAGTTGGAGTCTTACTCTGTCACCCAGGCTGGAGTACAGTGGTGTGATCTTGGCTCACTGCAACCTCCACCTCCCCAGTTCAAGCAATTCTCCTGCCTCAGCCTCCCGAGTAGCTGGGACTAGATGTGTGCACCACCATGCCCAGCTAGAGAGTGTGTGTGTGTGTGTGTGTGTGTGTGTGTGTGTGTGTGTGTTTAGTACAAATAGGGTTTCACCATGTTGGCCAGGATGGTCTTGACCTCGTGATCCACCCACCTCTGCCTCCCAAAGTGTTGGCATTACAGGCATGAGCCACCATGCCCAGCCTAGGTTGTATAATTTTGTGGCTCAGGAGCACTGGCTTACTGGGAGAGAGGTTTAGTTGAGAATCTTCAGCATGTTGATGGCATTTGAAGCTGTGGGCTTATATTACAGGCAGAACCTGAGGAGTGAGGGATGGGCCAAAACCAGAGTCCTGGGAAGCACCAGCATGTGGTATTCGGAGAGAAAAAGGCTCTCTGGAGGGTCTGGGGATGTTGCAAACAGGGAAGAAGTCAGGAGAGCGATGGTAGGAGAGCGAAGGAGAGCAGGGCCATGAATCACATCAAGCAAGGCCAAAAGGCCCAGAAAGCTTAAGACTAAGAAAAGTACATTGGCCTTATCTTTTCATAATTTCATGTTATTAATATGTAAAATGATAAATTCTGTAATTGGTCTGAATTTTAAAAATCTAGTGTGACTCCAGTTTCCAGCTGTGCATGCTTTTTTGGATTGTGTTTTCCGGAAACAGTGTCACTGGTCTCTCTCCTCTCCGTGCCTTAACATTCTGTGCAGAACTCAGTAATTGCTGAGATTTTTAAATAAATCACAGTAAATTTTCTCATGGTGTATAGATTAGCCTTAGGGTTCTGTCTCAAGCTCTGTGGCATAAATAGATGTGAATAATGCATATAAAAGTGAAAATAAGAACTCCAAAGTGAATAACTTGAAGGCTTAAGATAGTAGAATGTTTGATTCTTTCAGTTTTCATTATGGAAGCAGATTTTCAATGAGCCCACAATAATACAAGTTTTTCTTGAAGAAAAATTCATTTTCATGGATATAATTATGTCTACATTAGTCAGGGTACACCTATTTTGTAAGTTTATTTTGTAGCAAAGAGACTCATGAATGCATTACCTTAAATAACAAAGAAGTTTAGCTTTTCCTCATGTGAAGGTCTGAAATGTGTGTTTCAGATCATGCTAGTCAGCTCCACATGGTCATTCAGGGCTCCAGGTTGTTGCTTCTATCATCCCCCAGGGATGGCTAAATGGCTGAACCCTGGTTGCTGCCATGCCTAAATAGCGGTTGGAAGGAAGGAAGAGAAAGTGAAGCGGGTACCCTCATGATCAGAAAGCCTAAACCTAGAAGTGGCATACATGTTTCCATTCCATTGGCTAATGTGGCTCTACCTCATTTCAGGACCTCAGAAATGGGATCTAACAAAGTTCCTAAGAAGAGAATAGATTTTAGTGTACAACTAGTACACTAGTCTCATCTACACTAGCCTTAGTTTGAATACAGTCGTCCCTTGGTATCCACAGAGGATTGGTTCCAGGATGCTCCTTGGATACCAGAATCTGAGATGCTCAAGTCCCTTATGTAAAACGGTGTTGTATTTACACAGAACCTGCGCACATTCTCCCATGTATTTTACGTCATCTCTGGATTACTTATAATACCAAATACAGTGTAAATGCTATGTAAATAGTTGTTATACTGTATTTTTTATTTGCATTGTTTTATTTTTTTATTGGGTTTTTTCCAAATACTTTTGGATCCACAGTTGAATCTTCTGATGCAGAATCCAAAGAGATGGAGCGCTGACTATGTTTTCATCAGAATCCAAATATTTTAACAAACAGTATGGGAACTTACCATATTCATTGCTACAGATTATGGAAGGCTTGCTATTTTCATGAAACATCCAAGGTTGGGACACTTCACAGTTGAATTCACTCACACATATTTTTTGGAACATCTGCTGTGTGCTAAGCACACGCTGGGCTCCAAGGATGGAGCAGTGGACCAGGCAGACAGGACCTGGGTACTCAGATCCAGGTCCAGGTCTCGAGTTACCTGGTCCTCTTTCCACTAAAACAATAGAGCCATTTGTTGTCAAATCTTTTTTTGTTTGTTTTTTCTTTTGTTTTTTGAGACAGGGTCTCTCTTTGTCACCTAGGCTGCAGTGCAGTGGTACGATCACAGCTCACTGCAGCCTCAACCGTCTGGACTCAAGCAGTCCTCTACTTTAGTCTCCTGAGCAGCTGGGACTGTAGGCCCGCACCTTGACCTCCCAAAATGCTGGGATTACAGGCATAAACCACCATTTCTGGCCTGCTAGCTATTCTTTAAATGGAATTTTTCTTCCATGAATCTTCATCTTTGCATACCAAGAAAAAAAGTTGTAATGAATACAGTTAGATAGCATCATTAAGCAGTCAGATGCCTTGAAATCCTGGGTTGTCTCTTCAAACACTTCCAGTCATGAAATTCCAGTTCTGAAATTGGCAGCAAAGCTTTGTCAGATCCTCAGAAAAACCTCCAACCTGGAATAACGGCCTGGAACAGAACATTTGACTCCTGTTGACGGAGAGCGTTTGTTCTTATGGATTCCCCTTGGCAGCCTCATTGTCAGGCTGAACATTTGATTTCCCAGTTTGCAAACATTTATGTGCCTTAGCCTCAGGCAAAATAACATACCCTGTTTTTATGGAAAGGCATAACTCCCGTAGCCATCCAGGGTGATTTATTAGACTGTACTGCCTGTCTGTTTATTATCTATCAACAACATCAAGCTTAAAGAAAAAGAAAATTTAAATTCTCTAATTTAAAAACATATTTTTTAAAAGATAGATTTTCTTTTTTTTAAGCTTGATGTTGTTGATAGATAATAAACCCATTTTGGCAGCCATTTTTAAAGCACTCCAAAGTTAATTGGGCCTTCAGGCAGCAGGAGTTTGCCATTAGAACGGTTTATCAGCAGCTTCTTTCATGCTGATTCTTATAGAGTTTAGTCATGAACTACTCTGTCTGTCCACTTCTCTTCAGCTGGAAAATATGTATGTATTCATAGCCTATTTCATTATTCAAACAAAAGATATTTATATTCATAGGTCATTTCATTATTCAGGGTAATTGTATATTAGTGACCTGAAAGACTTAACACATATACTTTGTGGCAGAAATAGAGATACTCTCAGATCTCATATATAAACTTTTTTTTGACATTTATTACCACCCTGTGTTAAATGAGAGGTTGCATGTCCAAAATGCAGAGAGAATTGTAAAGAGGTAGAGATCCTGGTTATCCTACTCAGTTAATTTTCCTAAAGGGAGATTTTTCAGAGGTCAGAAAAATTAAGGATTATGGGTTCCCTCAGTAAAGGACAGGGTAGATTTTCTAGGAGGAAGGGACAGCTTGTGGAAAGTGGTAGATGTGTTGAAGAATGAGGAGCATTGTGTGTTGGAAGGAAGATTGGCTCAGTGTGGCCAGAGACAGTATTAGGGTAGAGAGGGCCAGGGAGTACTGAGGCGGGTCAGAACAGAGTGACAGGCTGTGCGTGCCCCCTTCTGGAAAGTGGTGATAGGGAAGGGCAGTGACTGCTCAGTTACCTTTTAAATCCATCCTTCTGGCTGTGGAGAAGACGAGGTTATTAGAGGGGCTTGCTTAATCGGCAAGAAGACCAAGAAAGGGCCCATTGCCAGCCAGTCAAAAGCTGCCTGAGGCTAGAACACAGGTAGTAGCTATGAGGATGAAGCAGAAGGGGATGAAGAAGCACCAGGAGGAAGAATCTGCAAGACTGGGGAGCAGACGGCTTGTGCCGGGGCAGGGAAGGGAGAGAGCAGGATGACGCCCCCGCCTAGGCTTGACTGCTGGGTGGGTGTTGGCAGCCTCCTGGAAGGCAGCGGTGGTAGGGAGCAGGAAGGTAGGGAGCTGGAAGGCAGCGCAGGTAGGGAGCAAGAAGATAGGGAGCTGGAAGGCGGCGCAGGTAGGGAGCAGGACCATAGACGGCGAAGCCGAATCCCACAGTACTGAGTGAAGCAGACGTTAGGCACTCCGGCTGACCTCACAGTGGGGATTTCATGTGTCGGTGTCAGTGGTCAAGAAATAATGACATTGGAACTGAAAAGTGATTGAGCCAGTACCTGTTACTGTTGGTACAAAAGGCCATGACACACTTGGGATTTTGCTTGCTGAAGCTGGAAGCTGTCTGGACCCTCTTGGCGCTCTCTGACCTCTAATTCTCTGTATCGTCTCTCTAGGAAACCATATCACCCAAAACTGGAAGCTTTCGTTAGTCACATGTCAAAAGGATCTGGAGCCTCTTTCGAAAGTCCCTTGAACTCCTTGCCTCTTTACCCAAATCACCCGCTGTGTGAGATGGGAGAGCTCACACAGACAGGTAGGTGTGACAGCCATGCGCTTAGGGGCTCCCCAACCCGCTGTCCTGCTTGCATACCTTCAGAGTGGGGTGCTGTGCGGCTCAGAGGGGTAAATGAGGACTGGCTCTATGAGGAGCTCCGTCACCAGGGCCTCTAAATAAACATCTGAGTTCTCAAAACTAAATAGAACCTTTCTCCTTTTTACAAAAACCACACGTGTTTATGAAGAGAAATTAGGAAAGACAAGTAAAAGGAAGAAAAAGTTTAAGCAACCGTAGTTCCACCGCAGAAATAGACCCTTAAGAGTAACCTTTCTTCCTGTGCTTATGCACACACACCTTACTAAACACACAATTTCATAACCCGCTTTTTCACTCAGCAATACATTTGGGTAATATTTCCCTATCAAAAACTGTTTATCCACGCCATCATTTGTGATAGCTCCATATTCTTTCACTCTGGGTGGGCAAGTGATCATCTGTTTCATCCCATGTTCCCAGATGTTTCTAACAACACTTCTACTAGGTTCTCATGTACAAGATCTCAGGGAGGAAGATGCATGGCACATTTCCGCTGTGTGTGGAGTTTGCTGGGCTGAGTCGAGTCCTCACAGCAGCCCAGCTTACCCTCTGCAGCCCTAGTCAGACCACGTGCAGGCAGTGCACCACCAGGGTAGGTCGGTGAGTTAAGTGTAGAGTCACCTTTGCTGGGAATAGAGGAACAGGTGGTCCTTCAAGAGGTTTCTGTTTTCTGATTCTTCAGTCTGGAACCTCAGAGGACCTTTTCTTGGTCACCAGACTTTATGGGTGAAATGGGAAGACCCATGGGCTGTGTTCTGTTTTCATGTTGCATCAACATCTTAGGACCTCAGCAGGGATGGAGGGAAAGTCTCTGTCCTATAGTTGGCCCTCTTAGGTTTTGCTGTTATGATTGGGGGAATGATACCAGGTGACAGAGTGGAGCAAGCTGAAGCCTCCAGAAGACTAGCCATGGATGAGGAGTTGTGTCAAAAGCCTTTGGCAGGCAGTTCCACATGCATTCGTTTAGAACAAGGGTTTTTATCCTATCAGATCCAGCACCGCCTTTGATTACAAAGTTAACTATTTTGCAATCTCCCTCAACTATCATGAAGTGAAATTTATATATACTGTAACCAGTTGGGCATGGTGGCTCACGCCTGTAATCCCAGCATGTTGGGAGGCTGAGGCAGGAGGATCACTTGAGCCCAAGGGTTCAAGAGCAGCCTGAGCAATATAGTGGAACCCTGCCTCTACAAAAAAAATTTTTAATTAGTCAAATGTAATGGCATGTGCCTGTAGTCCCAGCTACTCAGGTGGCTGAGGGAGGACCACGTGAGCTCAGGAGGTCAAGGCCTCCAGTGAACCATGATCATGGCACTGCACTCCAGCCTGAGTGACAGAGTGAGACCCTGTCTCAAATAAATAAATAAATGTAATCTTTCTGCATAGTTAATTATTTAAAAATTATATCAGAGTCCCCAGCTATAACAAACAAAAAGAAACTAATTTATTACATAATTATACGTGTCTCAGTATAAATGCATAAAAACAGCTACACTAGAAACCATAATGACATCTTCAAATGCTTGCACCTAAATGTGACTCTGACAGCTGTGAATGCAGATGATTGATGGATGCTGTATTGGTGACTCTATTACCACATGTCAGGACATGGTTTTTCTGAAATTCTAATCAAAGCAAAGTGTAGATGTTCCTCAGTTTATATTGTATTTCTGGAAAATTCAGTGGATGTTAATATTATACAAAAATGGTTTTGTTTTTCTAAACACAAAAACCAGAGTTAGATTCTACAGGCTAAAGTATTCAAATATATTTTTCACATGTTGGAATGTCTTGTGCTGCATTCAAAAGTTTTGTGGGACAGAGACACCTGTCCCTTCTAGAGACTGTCTAGCCCCCCGGCCCCCACCCACTAGGTACCAGGAATGCCCTTCCCCATATTATTGTGATAACTCCACCCCCAAGCCCTCTCTGAAGGCAGTAGCACTGTTGGGGAGAACTGCTGGTTAGACTCTCTGGTTAAAAATAACAGAAACCACCTCAACCAAAAAAGGGAAATTTATTATAAGGATTTAGGAATGACTCACAGACTCTGAGATCAAGAATGTGACCAGACCTCTAGAGACTGGAACCAGTAATAAAAAAGCTGTCTAGTCCCTGCCCCTCTCTGTCATTTTTTACTGTTTGTCGACAGAATTACAATCTCAGCCACACACACAAATGAATTTGCAAGTCCAAACTCTTAAGAGAGATTGAATCCTTGAGGTCCTAGGTGTTAGCGTCCATCAGCCCGGCTAGCAGGTCAGGGTGACTGTGCAGAGAACAGGACGGTGAGGCTGCCAGTCTCTGGATCCAGGAACTGCTCCCTGAGAAGAGACTTGGGGGTTGGCCCTCAGACACCTCATCATTTATTCAAATCTCAATGCATCTGTCATCATCATTTCTAAGTTAATATTACTCTAGAAATCATTTTTGTAATACTGTCTGCTCCTGTTTCCTCATTCTCTTCTCATGGTCACTTTTATCTTCCATTTTAAATTTCATGAAAAATGTATGGCTGTTATAACCATCTTTTGTCCCTAGCGCACTTATGGCACCCCACAGTAACTACGTAAGATAAAATTAGTGCCTACCCTGTTGAAGATGCTTTGGCAGCTGCTGAGTGTGAGAGGGTAGCAGGGTGAATGGGACCCTCCTGCCTGTCCTACAGGAGGCTGCAGCTGCAGCAGATAGTGCGCGTGGAGACAGCTGCTGTAGCCGGATGCTGCAGGGCCTTAGAGAGTGAACACAGGCTTTGGAGTCTCACAGACCCATAGCTTGCAGAGGATCCTACCTTCCCAGTGACTGGTGGTGAATTCAATGAGGTAGCATGTGTAGCATGCCTAGTGCAGTGCTGGCATGTGAGAGACTCCCATGCATGCAGCTGATGTCGTCATGGTCCAGCAGCATATGGGGAGAGGAAGGAATTATTAACTTGACCAGGGAGAGGAAGAAGGAAAGCATCACAAAGAAGGTAATGTTGGAGCCAGGCCCTGGGAGGATTTCTCTAGGGAGAGGAAGGGGAACAATATGAACTGTTTCATCTTCCATGAGGATACAGGCTGTGATTGGCAAGTATAAGAAGCCCTAAATAGCTAGAACTTAGTATTTCTGCATGAAAACGTACAGGACTAAGAGCATAAAATTAGGGCCAGATGGGGCCTTGAGTTGTAGCTCTGCCACTTTCTAACTGTGAATGGTTCAGGGTCTTTATTTCTTCATCTATACAACAAGGAAAATGGGGATGATGATAATAATAATAACATACCTTCTTCACTGGATTTTTGTGAGGATTAAATGAGAACAGCCTGGCACACAACTCTGATTTATGTAGCCTAACAAAATAAGATAGGCCCAGCAGTGAACCAGGGCAAGACACAGAATCTTAATGTTTATCTCACATGGTCTGCATGTTTCTTGCGAAACATCTTGGAAATGCTAAAGCCTGTTTCAGCCTTTAGTTCCTGGTTCCTAGGGGAGTTCTGCTCTCAGTGCTTTTCATTCACGGTAGGACCCAGACGTCCTTCGTGGGTTTTGCTGACCTGTTCACTTTCCTGGGGGATCATAGTTCCCTCTGTCTCTTGATTTTCAGCCCAAGTTGTCTCATCTTTGCAGTGGGACTTTTTACACTGTTTGGACATCCAAATAAATGGCATCACTGGTCACAGGGCCTGTGTGTGGAACTCACGCCCATGACAGATTGTATCCTGTTACCTCCTACAGGATGAGCGTGAGCTTGTTTTTGTCTTGGGTTGCCTTTTACTTAAAGATAAGGCTTTTTCCAATTGTAAAAGTTCATTTATTATTATACTGTGATAGTTCAAAACTAAAACAGTACTAAAAGGTAAGCTTTAAATTCTTGCTTCTGCCCATATCCTATCCACCTCATTTTCGTACCTCCATCACCCCCAGGGAACCATTGAGTTTAGTTTCTTGTATATCATTCTAAAGTTTCTTTATGCAAAACTCAGGCAACTGCAAATACACATTCTCATTTTTCCCTCTTTTTCTCTTCTTTCTTTCTTTCTTTTTTTTGAGGCAGAGTCTTGATCTCTCACCAGGCTGGCGTGCAGTGACACAATCAGCTCACTGCAACCTCCGCCTCCCGGGCTCAAGCAATTCCCCTGCCTCAGCCTCCTGAGTAGCTGGGATTACAGGCGCCTGCCACCACACCCAGCTAATTTTTGTATTTTCAGTAGAGACCGAGTTTTTCACCATTTTGGCCAGGATGGTCTCAATCTCTTGACCTCGTGATCTGTCCACCTTGGCCTCCTAAAGTGCAGGGATTACAGGCGTGAGCCACCGTGCCTGGCCTCCTCTTTTTCTTTTTAAAGGAGCGTAATCAACATACTGTTCTACACTTTTTTCAAATATTCTATCTGGGTATCCGGAGATTGTTCCATGTCATACAGAGAGTGCATGTGTGTTGACGAGTCTGTAAAGCCCCCAGGATCAGGCAGAACGTACCCAGCCGGCTATCAGAGAACATTTGGTCCGCAGACTGGGGAGGATGGGGTCAAGGAAGGACTTTCCAGCAGTGAGGAGACTGAGCAGCAAGCAGGGAATCTGTAGTCAGCCTTTACCTGAGCATTTTCACTGAGCACAACCTGCACACCGAGGAATGCTGGACAGGAGGCAAAAGCTCTCCTTAGGCCCATGCAATTACAGATATCCCAGAGGCTGGGTGATTCCTACCCCTGAGACCCACCGGTCTCCACACTTTCCCCAGGGAAGGGGCCGATCTGGAGGACAAGTATGAGGCAGATGGTCCAAAGGCTGTGGTTCCCAAGGCCAGGGCCCCACTCGGCTCATCCTTCATGCATTCTCCCAAGGGTTCCCTTCAAAAGCTGTTGTGAACTCAAGCTTGCAACCCCCACAGCATGGGGAAGCCGGCTGGATGCCATTCTCTTGCACTCCACTGCCCTAAATCACTCCAGAGCTGGACACTGACTCCGCCTCCCCTTGCTGTTTCTTTTGCTCAGCTGGAAGTAAGGACAGTTTTGTGTGCTTGTGTTTCAGGCGTCGTGCAGCATTTGCAGAACGGCCAGCTGCTGAGGGACATCTATCTAAAGAAACACAAACTCCTGCCCACTGATTGGTCTGCAGACCAGCTCTATTTAGAGACCACTGGGAAAAGCCGGACCCTACAAAGTGGGCTGGCCTTGCTTTATGGCTTTCTCCCAGATTTTGACTGGAAGAAGATTTATTTCAGACACCAGCCAAGTGCGCTGTTCTGCTCTGGAAGCTGCTATTGCCCGGTGAGAAACCAGTATCTGGAAAAGGAGCAGCGTCGTCAGTACCTCCTACGTTTGAAAAACAGCCAGCTGGAGAAGACCTATGGGGAGATGGCCAAGATCGTGGATGTCCCCACCAAGCAGCTCCGTGCTGCCAACCCGATAGACTCCATGCTCTGCCACTTCTGCCACAACGTCAGCTTTCCCTGCACCAAAAATGGCTGTGTCGACATGGAGCACTTCAAGGTAATTAAGACCCATCAGATCGAGGATGAAAAGGAGAGACGGGAGAAAAAACTGTACCTTGGGTATTCTCTCCTGGGTGCCCACCCCATCCTGAACCAAACCATCAGCCGGATGCAGCGTGCCACCGAGGGCAGGAAAGAAGAGCTCTTTGCCCTCTACTCTGCTCATGATGTTACTCTGTCACCAGTTCTCAGTGCCTTGGGCCTTTCTGAAGCCAGATTCCCAAGGTTTGCGGCCAGGTTGATCTTTGAGCTTTGGCAAGACAGAGAAAAGCCCAGTGAACATTCTGTCCGGATTCTTTACAATGGCGTCGATGTCACATTCCACACCTCTTTCTGCCAAGACCACCACAAGCATTCTCCCAAGCCCATGTGCCCCCTTGAAAACTTGGTTCGCTTTGTCAAAAGGGACATGTTTGTGGCCCTGGGTGGCAGTAGTACGAATTATTATGACGCATGTCACAGGGAAGGATTCTGAAAGGTGTGCAGTGCAGCGGGATAGAATCTGCCAATCAGAGCACCGGGAAAGGGCCACTGCTAGTTCTGTCTGTTGCTAAGGGTAGAAGATTATTGCTTTTCAAAGGCTAAATATTGTTTGTGGGAACCACAGATGTCTGGGGGTTGAATGTTGCTATAATGCGGTATGTGAATTGCTTGGTACAAAATGGCCAGTTCACAGAGGAATAGAAGGTACTTTGTCACAAGCAGACTTTGCTTAGAATACCAGAATGGGTTCAAGACCCAAAGTTGCCAGTCCAAGTTTGCACCCTTCAGCCTGCCTCATGGTATTGTGTGATGGAACCAGCACACCTCAGCCAAAATTTTTTTAATCTTAGACATTTTTATCTTGTCCTTGCTAAGGATTTCTTGAAGTGATTTGTCTAAAATAGGGGCTGGCAAACTTTTTCTGTAAAGGGCCAGACTGTAAATATTTCAGACTGTGTGGACCAAAAGGCCACATACAGTCTCTGTCACAACTACTTAGTTCTGCTCCTGAAACAGAAAAGCAACCACAGACCATACGTAAAGGAATGCGTGTGGCTGGGTTCCCGGGCCGGACAGACAGCTGGTGGCCAGCTTTGGCCCCTGGGCTGTAGTTTGCTGACCCCTGACCTTAAAAATAGGCTATACTACAATTGCACTTCCAGCACTTTGAGAACCAGTTGAATGCCAAGAATTTTTCGATGGTTTTTCCAGTAATTTCTGCTAGAAACACAGAATTTGGTGTGTATCTGACACTAGAACAAAACTTGAGGGGAAATAAACTGAATCAGAATGACTCATAGAAAACTGATTAGATGATTACTTGATATTCATGATGATTGTGGTACAAGATAGTTTTAAGTACATCCTAAATATTTGTCTGCTGTAGTCTATTTGCTGTATATGCTGAAATTTTTGTATGCCATTTAGTATTTTTATAGTCTAGGAAAATATTTTCTAAGACCAGTTTTAGAGGACTCTGATTCCTGTAGTAATATTCAATTTACTGTACCTGTTTGGTGGTTAGAAGGAGGCTAGAAGATGAATTCAGGCACTTTCTTCCAATAAAGCTAATTATGGCTCATTCCCTTTGACAAGCCGTAGAATTGAATTCATTTTTAAACCATTTTCATCAGTTTCAAATAGTAAATTCTGATTGATTTTTAAATGTGTTTTTGGAAGAACTTTGCTATTAGATAGTTTACAAATCTCTATAAGGTGTTTTATATATTAGAAGCAATTATGATTACATCTGTGATTTCTGAATCAATGGTGCTAATTCAGAGAAATGTCAAGTGCAAGTGAGATTCTCTGGTGTCATTAGCATTCCAGCCTTTTCTCTTTGTTTTTGTCCAGTGTTGCATTTGAATATGTCTGTTTCTATCAATAAATTTTTGAAGAATACCTATGATATACAACTAATGGTTTGTACCTATAAGTCACTATTTTCAAGTGAGAGCCAGTATTTTCTTTTTCCCCCTTCATTCAAATGTCATGCAGAGAACCAGTATTTTAAAATTTCACCTTAATCGCTTCACTTATTGCTGAAAGTTGTGTTGCCTCTCAAGTATTCAAAGATTGAATGTGGTTTTTTCTTCCCACTCACAATATATCTGAATTAGAACTGCTAAACACAGCTTGAAGATTTAAAAATAAAAGCGACTCAGAAGATTTCTTTAAAAATCAGTTTATAGTATATGTTGGTAAAAGTAAATATTGTGGCTAAGAGCCAACATGAAAAGTATAGAGAAAAATTTTGTCTTCTAAGACACTGGGTATGCACAGCATTAAAGCATCTGCCTCTATATCAAGTTCCAAAAGACTTCATAACAGCACTGAACTTAATCTAATATTGCTATTAAGCCTATTTGAGGGTTTTCATAGCTATAGCAGAATTAGGCTTTCTGGAAGATTTAGGTGATTCCTTTTTCTGGGAGTCTTAAGGACTGATTAGAGAGATGCAGGGATAGACGCTTCTGTTTCTCGGAATCTCTGGGAAGCCTTCTGAACAGATTCAGCAGCTCAGACAAGGGTGGGTGTGCCCTGGTGTGTTTAAACACTGCCACAAAGCAGAAAATAGCTGAGGTTTACCTTGCAGCTGTGGCTTTAACAGCAGTCAGCCCAGAGTGCTGGCCTCAACGCCAGGTAACTCCCATTGCCCAAGGCCACTGAACTCAAAGTTTGGATTGTACTGCTGTATTAGTGCCTGCCCAGGAGCCAGCTCAGATGAGTAATAGCTTCTGCTGAGAGGAAGTGGCTGAAACTCATCAGAGCAGCTGGGCAGCCCTTCTTGAAGCCCCACTGCCAGCGGAGACCGCCCTGATGAGGAGAAGTCATCCCTGAGGGCCGGCTCAGCTTCTCAGAGCTGCAGAGCCCCTCAGCAGAGGGATGGCCTGGGGCCTGCCTTCCGAACAGCTTTGTCAGCAGCAAAGGTGCCAGGTAGTGCCAACTACATGGGTTCCACAAGTGCTGCTTTATCAACCTTCACAACATTCTGAGGAAAGTCCTAGTTCCCTAAAAATGAGGAAAACAGGCTGGGGTGGGGGTGGGGGGAGCCTGGCAGGGGTTGAAGTCACTTTTTCAAAGGAAGAGTCAGAGCTGAGTCTAACTCTAGTTCACAGGATACCAGTGAAACGAAGAGCACTTACAGCCAGGCGCAGAGGCTTATGCCTGTAATCTCAGCACATTGAGAGGCTGAGGCAGGAGGATCGCTTCAGCCCAGGAATTTGAGACGAGCCTAGCAAGAGAGAGAGACCCTATCTCTACAAAAAATTAAAAACACAAACATTAGGCAGGAGTGGTGGCACATGCCTATGGTCTCAGCTCCTTGGGAGGCTGAGGTGGAAGGATTGCTTAAGCCCAGGGGAGTTGAGGTTGCAGTGAGCTGTGATTGTGCCTCTGCACTCCACCTGGGTGACAGAGTAAGATCCTGTCTCAATAATAATAATAATAAAACTATATGAGATACCGTAGGAAAATGTACACCATTTCCTTAATCTTCACAATAGTCCTACAAGATACTGTATTTGCTGTCAAATATCAATGAATAATGTAGTGGGGTTAAAGCAGTTCTACATTAAAAATCTAAATGTTTAGAGGAATATTCGAATACTACCTCTAACCATCTGTGGCTTGCTATTCTTAAGAAAACTTACCATGTAAAATGTATCTTTGCAGCAGTTATATTACATTTAACCACTAGAGGGCAGCATTACACAATTTTTCCAGTCTTCCATCTGTAAAGGAAGCAGGGTGGTTTCAGGGGGTCCAGGTTTGCCTGGCGCTGAGTAGTTTCCCAGGATGTGAGGCTTTCAGTGCTTAAAAACCAGGAAAGGGCCGGGCGCGGTGGCTCACGCCTGTAATCCCAGCACTTTGGGAGGCCAAGGCGGGTGGATCACGAGGTCAAGAGATCAAGACCAGCCTGGCCAACATGGTGAAACCCAGTCTCTATTTAAAACACAAAAGTTAGCCGGGCATTTGGCAGGCGCCTGTAGTCCCAGCTACTTGGGAGGCTGAGGCGGAAGGATAGCTTGAACCCAGGAGGCGGAGGTTGCAGTGAGCCTAGACTGCGCCACTGCACTCCAACCTGGCGACAGAGCAAGACTCCATCTCAAAAAAAAAAAAACCAAGAAAGTCCCAGGCACACTGGAACAAGTTGGTTGCCCTGGTGTTATATGTTGAGACAGTTGTGAGAATATTACTGTCATTCCCACATTTACAGAAAAGGGAACCAGGAGGAGTAGCTCGTCGGAGGCACCACGTGGTTGCTGGGGTGCAGCAGAGCTGGACTCCCGCTGTGCCCATTTCACATGCAGGACCATGCTCTTAAGCAGGGTGTATGATAAAGCCTCTGGAACCATTTAGGACTGCCTTTGGTTCCGTGCTACAGAAACCTGATGACAGTGGCCTAAACAAATGAAGCCTTTCACTTTCACCCGTGGCGCCATGATGTCATCAGGAATCCAGACTCCTGTTGGCCTCTCACTGGCCAGAGCGGGGCCCCTTGGCTACCTCCACTGTGAAGGAGTCTAGGGAAATGAGGATTTTTGCTGGGCACACTGCTGTCCCAAACAAACTTAGCCTCCTTTTACTCGGGGAAAAAAAGGGAAAGTGGGTACTGAGTAGAGAACTAGCAGTGACTAGCACACTCTCCAAAGCCACCATTACACTGAAGGTGTGGACGCTGCACCACCCAGATCCCCCATTTCAGGACTTCTTTCCCCCGCTGCTGGTGGTGCTCAGCTGTCAGTGCCTTCAGGGCACTGCACTGGAGCAGGGAGCCATCTGCTGAAGGACATGCTCCTTCCCAGGGCAGCCACATCCAATGATTGGTCAGAATAGGGATTGGAAGGCCTGGGGACAACCCCGAGGGGCCATCCAGCTTCAGAGTTCCCTTGGGGTCAGCCAAGGCCCTGTGACTGCATCACAACCCATCTTCTGCTTCCTCCAGCGTCCTCCAAGGTGTTGACCCAAGAGCACGCCCCAGCCATCCCCTGTACACACGTCTGTCTCAGAATCTGCCTCCTGGGAACTGCCTTGCAATGCAAGGCAAGCAATCCTAGAGGCTAAGGTCTCTGCTAGCATGGGCAGGAAAGCTGGACTCATTTCTAGGAAAGGCATACGTATTGATGACCAATAGATTTTCTATCACTACCTTTGAGAGGCTTACCATTTTATTGCAGAAGCTAAGTATGCACATATGAAGCAGTAGGAAAATTATGATTTCAGACAATCCAAAGCTATTTACAAAGGGCTGTTCCACCATGACTTACCATTCATTGAACACATACCATGGGCTGGAACCTGGGCTGAGCATTCAACTAGCATAGTCTGTGTATCTCACAGTATGAGCGACCACTTGAAGTAGGCATTTATTATCCTCATTTTACAAGTAGGAAAAGGCTCTGAGCTCTGTGGCTCAGAGGTAGACATACACCTAAGATCGCACAGTCGATAGTAAATGGCCAGCTCGGGACTGGAATGTGGATTAGCCTGAACTACCACGCTCTTCCACGTTCCTCTAGTTTAGCGCCTCTCCCTGTACCCCTAGTCCGCTGCATCCACACAAGTGAGGAAGCAAACTTGACACATGAGCTACAGTCAAGAGTCTATTCTGCTCGCGGGGATGATCCCCTTCTTGCATCTGTTATGCATATTCATATTTCTAGCTCCCTTTGTTTCTTTTCCCATTTTTTCCTAATGTACCTTTTCCAAGAAAATAGAATCTTCTCATAATAGATTGTCTTAGCCTGGTCTCCCCTGAAGCAGAGTCTGAGATAAAAAGCTTACATGTTAAGTTTCTTAGGGGATGTGGTCCTAAAGGAGCAGGAATGAAAGATAGGACAGAGGGGAAGGAGGGAAAGCCAATGTAAGGACACATAGGGGCGACTGGGCACTCTATCCCATAGGACCTCCTGAGAAGGCTTGGGAAATACATCTCAGAACTGTTCACCTACGGGAAACGTTTATCCACTGGCTCCCATCCACAGCTGCCTTCCCTGCTCTGCGGAGGTGCATGCGCATGACTGCCCAGCAGGAGGGTGCCCTGTACACCACAGAATGGCATCGGAGAGACCCTGGGGCAGGAAGCAAGAGAATCTCTCTCTCTCTCTCTCTCTCTCTCTCTCTCTCTCTCTCTCTCTCTCTCTCTCTTCTCTCTTCTCTCTCTCTCTCCCCCTCCCTCCCTCCCTCCCTCCTCTCCCCTTCCTCCCTCCCCACCCCGATGTGTGGACAGTCAGAAGGTGGCTATCTGCAAGCCAGGAAGAGAGCCCTCACTAGGAACTGAATATGCTGTCTCCTTGACTTTGGACTTCTCAGCCTCCAAACCTGTGAGAAATAAGTATCTGCTATTTAAGACAAAGAAAGACAGAGAAATCAGTAACCGGAAAAAGACCGAGGGCTGGAAGTGGAGCACAAGATGCGTTTGATGTGCAACTTGGACCAGCACTTGTTGAGCATTTCAGCCCAAGCATGCACTGCGCTGTTGATGCAGAGCCTTGCTTCATCTCACAGTAACCTGTGTATTACAGATTATCATCCCCATTTTTTTTTTTTTGAGACAGTCTCACCTTTGTTCATCCAGGCAGGAGTACAGTAGCAGCAATAGCTCACTGCAGCCTCAAGCTCCTGGGCTCCAGCAATCCTCCCGCCTCAGCCTCCTGAGTAGCTGGGATTGCAGGCACGAGCCACCACACTCAGCTAATTTTGTTTGTTTGTTTGTTTGTTTGTTTTTGAGATGGGATTTTGCTATGTTGCTCAGGCTGGTCTCAAACTCCTGGGCTCAAGCAATCTGCCTGCCCCGGCCTCCCATAGTGCTGGATTACAGGCATGAGCCACCCCACCCAGCCTATCAGCCATTTTTAAGACAGGGAAAGAAACTGAGAGGAGAGGTCACTTGCCAAGGC